ATCTATCTATCTATCTATCCATCCATGTATCCATCCATCTATCTATCTACCTATCTATCTGTCTATCTATCTATGTGTCTATCGATGATCTATCTATCTGTCTGTCCGTCTGTATGTCTGTCTGTCTGTCTGTCCGTCCGTCCGTCCGTCGGTCTGTCTGTCTGTCTGTCTGTCTGTCTGTCTGTCTGTCGATCCATCGACCTGTCCATCTATTCATCGTTCTGTCCATCTACAAATCTCCCTGTCCAGCCATAGCCTGCCACATGCCTTTTTGCGCATCTCAGGCTGCTCCGGAGGCCCAGTGAGGCGCAAAGCAGCTGTGAGAAAAAGATGCAAAAAGGCAGGCTTGCAGCGGAGGAAAGATCGAGCGAGCGTCATTTTGGATGTTGTCCCTCTTAGTCTTGCTCCCAAGTCGCAGAATGATTTGTGGAATGCATAGGTTCAGGGTACATTGCTGTGTGATTCGCGATGGCGTCTCGTGCTCCAGCTAGCTGTTCCTAGAGCGACGACAATTTCGTTTGTCGGTCCCTGGTGCTGGTAGCTCGCCTGCAGTTCGGAAGGTAATTTTCTGGTGTGCCCGCAGCATCTCGCAACTGTCTGTGCGGTTTGGCTACCGGGCATGCAGACTCAATCTGCTGCTTGCTCGAGTACTCTGTTGTCGAGGCAAGTCACCGGACGACATGATGCCAATCATCTTTTACAGGAACACCTTCCTGCAGGTCCCTGTCGAGGACACCGCCACGTTGGTTCTCTGTTCTTTGTTTTGGTTGCCGATCCGCTCAAGCACAGATCTCATTATCTTCGTCCTCCCACTTGCAGCACCCAGCGTCCTTTCGGGTTGTGGCCGGCACATCAGACTTGGCTGCTCGTGCCCACACAACAATGTTTCACTCTTCTTGTTTGGCGGAAGTGCTTCAAGATGAGATGGATGCAGGAGCGCATGGGTGAACATGAACATCGCCGAGCAGCCAGCGTTCCAGCCCGTGTTTTGGGCCAGGCCCGCATCGTCTGATGCGACGTTTTGAGAGTCGGAATCCTTGGCTTTCAGATTTGTGACGATGCGAGTATTCGAGGTAAAGGCTGATCCGAGGCCCATGCTGAAAACACAAACATGATGTGGAGCCGTGCTGTCTCCGCGTAAGGAACTTGCCTGCCAGAACTCTGTTAAGGAATCCTTCTGACCGGCTTAAGACATTCCTGCAGCATGAAAGGCTTTTGACAGCTTTGTGTCTGGCAGGGATCGGGGATAGCACGGCCCGCTTGCGGCAAAATATCTTGAATGTGAAGATACCTCTGAGACCTTGCAGGCTTCAAGTCCCCACTTCAGCCCACGAAGAGTTTTGGAAATTTCCTCCATAGCCTTAGAGTCCTTAGACGACATCGTTTTCCAACCCAGGCGAGTCTCAAGCACGACACAGGTCTCGACAGGTACTTGTCAAATGTGTCTTGACCGAACTAGCTGAAAAAAACGGTTGTTTCGGTTTTGCATATCTTGGATCGTGCTGCTGTCAGGCCTACTTACTGTGCAAGGGTTGCCGTTGCTTCTGCAGTTTTTGGGGCTGCTTTGCGCAGCCGCGCTTTGCGGCACTTACAGAGATTTCTCGCTCTGGAGAACTTCTAATCCCAGAGATCTGCTAACATATGGTCATCATGGGCGGCTTAGAAGATATATGTGAAGTGGCGAGGCCAGCTTACAATATCAGAATGCCACCATACACGGGACGACTGCCAACACACTTCGACAGCCAGTGTTTGCAGTGTGCGAGCATAGTCATCAGAAGACAAGGCTCGAGGGGGGAGGATCCCAGGGCTTCACAGATGTATCGTAGCTGCGGGGCTTCGGATTGCGGTTGGTTTCAAAGAATATGTGTTGCGGTTGTGACAGCTTAGGTGGCTCAATCTCTTGGGCAGTTTTGGGCCCATGGTATCCCACCAGCCCCGTGGACTGCCATGGTGCGCAACAGGGCAGCTTGATTGGACATTCAGCTTTGTGTCAACTTTTTCTGACCTCCGAGCTCTGAACGTAAGGCCGACCAGGCTCCAGAACCTGCTGAGGAGGAGGTGCAAGGTGAAGTCCAGACTCCGGACGATGCCACTCTGCAGACCGAACCGGGCATTCCGAGTTTTGCAAGCTGTGGCGGCTTGCCCGTCGCCAATGACGAGCCTTCCTTTGTCCCTTGCGTGAGCATGGAAAGCTCGGCTTCCGATCCTGGAGCCGAAGAGGCCGATGGGACCGGGAGCGTTGCAAAGCACAGGCTACTGGTAGCTATCGAGTCCTGTGGTAGACTCCAGGTAGACCTTCCTGGCCATTGGGGTCATCCCGAATTTTGCCGGCGACCTTGCATTTTGTTCTTGGCAGGGAACCTTGCCTGCACTGACTGCAGTTTCTGGATGTACATGAGTACATGACTCAATGCAAATCCCTGTTGCAACTTGTGGTCCCTTAGGAATTGTGCAGCGGGCATGGGCTGCCACTACTGCCATATGCCTAATCATCGGACAGTGAAGCTGCCCCAGGTCGGGCGGGACCTTTGCCAGAGTAGAGGTAGCACATCGCCCGCGTTTGCCACCCTGATGTGCAGAGACAAGCCGCTGCTAGAGACTTTTCAATCCTTGCGTTGCAGACATAGGAAGAGATAGGCTGGCCTGGTTTGGGCGGGCTTTGGCTTGTGGTACGGTTATTGTTTCGGCTTAAGACTACGAGTTCAGCCCAGGCACTGCCTCAGAACTCAGAGGCTTTGGCAATACTGCCGGGCCATTGTTGCAGTCACAGCCCGACATGCGGTCTAGATGACTCGCCATGCTTCAGGCCATACGTTGGAAGCTGAAAGCTATGCGTGCAACAGACCGTCTCGAAATCCTGCTGCAGTTCCTGCGCAAGAAGGACGGGACGTCACGGTGTTGAACGCCTTCATGAGAGACCTCCGTTACATCAGCCGAAAGCCAAGGAGGCTGCAATGCCCTGCACCCTTCCTTCCATCCAGAAGTTGATCGGCATTACGAATGAGGCAAAGCCGAGCGTAGGATGTTTCAGCATCCGTCGGCATAGGCTTTGGCCGTGGTTTGTTGATAGGCTTTGGACACTGCGAACTCCTCCGATGCCGCTTCTCCTGATCCAAGAGCAGTGCAGGCAGGAAGGGCAGGAAGATTCAGTTTTTGGAGCCAGAGCTGCAGTGGAACTCCCAATAACGGTTTTGGAGCATCAGGCCACACCCTGACCCTGGCAGGCAGTTCTGAAGAGGCTGCCGGTGGCTGCGTTGCTAGGTCGTCAGCCTCAAAGACAGCTTTTGTGGGACCGGATGCAGTTTGGGTGGTTCCTGCATAGATAGCATTCACTTGACTCTTTCCATTGTGCACTCGCGTGTACCACGTTTTTCAGTAAAACCGCTGCTCGATGTACGAGACCGAGGTGAGTTCTTCACTTCTGACTTCGATCCAAAAGTTCGGGTCTGCTTGCAGCAAGAGCTTTCGAACCTGCGCGCACAGTGTGCCGCGATGCTCCCGCATTCTGATCCTTAGATCCTGCTCGTTGCAGCTTCGTGCTTGACTATAGCGGGCACGATACAATAAATGTATCCATGCACGAAGGATGGGTCTCACCATCCTGCCCACTTGCAGTCATGTTGAGCGCTGCGTATAGTCGTTGATCGTACACTCGAAAAAAACATCCACGTGATAGGTTGATCACAGAAGCTGCTTGCCATCCTTGGCAGAAGAAGTGCAGGATCCTCGAGAAATACTTCCGGCGAGATAGGAAATCACGAGACTTCACAGCGCAGCCAACAGCATCGACTTCAAGATTTCATCCGCGAGGAATGTGGCATCTATTGTTCAACGGATCCGAATGGCGTTTTCGCTTCGCTTGAAGGCATGTCGTTCTTGTAGCACTTGGCTATACTTGTCAAACAGTTTAGGGCCCACTCTCAGAAACGAAGATGCCGGCATTCTCGGTGCAACCATGTAGCTGCATGTAGCTGCTGCAGGTCCTGAGCCGCAAGGCTTTGTTCCATGCAGTACATGCACATGATCGACGTGGAGAGACGGCAGCTGTCCTTTTGGTACTTGAGCAAATCTTGCGTGCAGCGGCTGCTGGTAGGTAGTGGTTTCGTAAGATGTTACTCGGGTTGCGAGTTTTGTTCCAGCATGGACTTTTTTGTGGGACCTCTACCGTGGAAACGTGCGCAAGATTGCTCGGGGGCTTCGTAGTGCATCGAAGAACCCACAGGGCAGCGGCACAGGTTTCACACGCTTTTTGTTTAAAGATTACGGGACACATCTGGCAAGATGAATACACAAGCTAGTATGTTTGTCTGTCACCTGATGGCCGAAGGCTACGCCTTTGGCCATGGGATTCTGTTGCGGAAGCAGTGAGGCTGCAGCGCCCAGCCCCAAGTTGCTGTTTCCGCCGCTAGGCCTCTGAATGACCTGCCCGGACTTTTGGTGGCGTTGTACACACTTGGGGGATGATGAAAATTGCGAGAGCATTTTTTGAAGTAGACTAAGTCCGTACTCTGAGAGCCATCGAATTCCTGGCAAAACGATGAGAGCAAAAATTAGCGAGAACGAATGTTCGTAACCTTAGCTCAGACCATACAGGCCCAAAGTCCTGTAAAACGATAAGGGCAAAAGCCAGACAACATGTTAAGGGTCAAGCAAGTGGGTGGGGGCTTTTCATGCAGCCTCACTTGATGAGCAACTATGTTTCAAAACCAGTCCTTCTGTTGAGTTGTCACCTTTGAGCAGCCAGCAAGGAAAGATAACCGCCGTTGGTTTGAAGGGAGCTTTCTTGATTTCTGGCTGATTAGAGGTGAATTGCACGAGCGCCAGCTTGCGTGCAATGAGGTAGGTAGTGGCCCAAACATGTGGACTGGACTCGGATACATTCCGAACCTGTCAAAAGGTCGGCAGTAACTCCATTATGTGGAGGCCGTGCAATCCTTTGTGACCCACTCATCACTGCAATCCTCGAGAGTGCAGTGTTTTCGCTGTCAGCGTGCTGTTCGCTGCGCGAACCGAGGACATGCTTCATTCTGGTATGTGTCCGGTTTAGAGCATGGAGCTTTCAACATGTGCTGTCCCTGATATGTGCATATCCTGCAGAATGTGGCGGCCTAAATAACGTGGCTCATGATGGCATATTCAAATCGAAGCAGTCCTTGGAAGAAACTGTAGTTGTTTTTGTCGTTGGTTTGTATGTTCACTGTCCCAACACTTTTTGGACCGTGAACTTGTGTTTGCTGGACAGAAGCATCCCAGGTGTTAAGGCACTCGCCCACGCGTGACCTTAGCCGTAGACGTTACACACCATGGCTGGTGCAGGTCACTTTGTAAAATGACCGGTCAACGTTTCTGCGACACACCGACTGCAAGCGCGACCTCTTTCTTGGTGATTGCACCGGGTGCGACAAGCCCGGCTTATGACACTGTGCACTGTAGACATTCGTACACAGATACGGCTAAAGACGACTACGAGCTGCACATCTGGAACGACCCCGTGCCATGGAGTAATCATTCACGAGATGCCTGGGAGTTGCAACTAGATGGATAAACAACATACATACATACATACATACATACATACATACATACATACATATATACATACGTACACACATACACACATACATGCATGCATGCATGCATGCATGCATACATACATACATACATACATACA